TTTCAGGACCCCACCTTGAAGTTTTGGGACCCCACTTTGGGTCCCGACCCCTACTTTGGGAAACACTGCTTTAATGAGATGATGAGTGTCGCTCGATTTTGAGGTTTTGGTGGAACTATACAACAAACTTCTAGGATATGTTTTTCCCCTTTACGCATATTTAACTTTTAGACATTTTTTACATTATGAGCTAAAGTTTAACTAAATAAAGGCCAAATCATTCATGACTGCTTTTAGCTTGTTCTGAAAGCCTGATATACATTTTTTTATATTTTCTAAAGGAATGTGCATGCTACGATACGCATTAAGTTAACACTTTGAATGTTATGAAAGTCTCACCACGCCTTACTGACTATTTGTTTCTCCGTGTATTAATAAACTGGAGAGTTAGAATATGTTAAAGCTTCACAAACCTCTGCAGTTGGCAACTCGATCATGCGTTAATCCTGCCAGAAGCCCGCGTCCTGTTTATAAACACATTCAAAGTTATCTGGTCACGTTTAGCGTCTCTTGTCCGGTATATATTACAGGACTGATTAGATCTCATTAAAAACATGTTGCGAGCATGACTGGAAAGTTTTTTATCCAGGATATGATTTGCCTCAAAGTTTTATGTTATGTTAATATTTTATTCCCTATTCCAATTATTTGCATGATTGTTTCTTTTTTTTTGTAAGCTAAAAAAGAAATAAAACGYTGGAACTTATCCAAACGCTCTTTGGCTTCTTCTAAATGTTTTAGGCCAAATTTGATTTTTAAAGAAACTATTCATATGCCTTAATTAAAATTTGTAATTTCAGCCTTTGTTTGGAACATAAGTGCGTAATCATTTTATATGTGAACTATACTCATCACGTTTCGGAGTGTATTTATTATCATAATATTATTAATTGATTGTGGCCAAAATCCACATTTCCGTCGTTTTTACGCACGATTTCATCTGTGTCATGAATCAGTTATTTCTTTCACTTTCGGACAAACCTATTAGACACATGGAACAAAAAAAAATCGCAACAAACTATAAAGCAATCCTGGTTTTTTACATATAAATTTCACTTTTCTTGGATCGATGCGCGCTTTTCTGCGAACGTCCAATTTTGGATCACATTCGCATCAAAAATAAAAACAATGATCTGGAGCTATTTTCTCCCTCTTTATAAAGCAGTCGAGTATTTTGGAAAATAATGTCTCTAAATAGCTTGGTGTGCGTGGAAGCTCTAGAGTGAAGTTCATTCTTGCCTGTCTAGACTCTCATTACGACCTTGTTTGTCTGCGTTTTTTTACCTTGACCTTGGACTTCCGTGCAGCTGCCATTTGGATGAGCCCTTCTTTGCAGATGTAATTTCCTTGAGACAAAAGAACCTCTGCATGGGCAACCACGGGGAAGTGGGGGAGGGGGTTTAGCTCTCTTAGTGCAGAAAAGAAACGGTGGCCTTGAGTTTTCTTGAGGCTATTCGGAAGTTTTTTTTTTTTAAAAAATGTTGATTAATCATTGCGCTCTTCTCTTCGCAGAGGCAGCTTGTAGCCTGTTCTTTACGGGTGACTCAGAGGATAGGCATCACAGAGAGGCTTCTTCATTGTGGGCCTAACCCGAGATAATCCGACAGTCTTGTAAATGCAGCCCTAAATAGCATGTGAACCAAATGATTATTTTTTTTTATTTTGAAAGGGGGCAAACAGGATCGGTTCACTTTTCTTGAAACAATGATATACAATGATTTGGGTTTGTAAGGAATGGTGTAAATAGTATTTGAGAACTTCTTAGTGGAAATTGACCGACATCTCTTGCATGAAATAATAATGTCTGCTCTGCTCAGAGCTGAAATCAGGCTCTTGTTCTCTGTTTTTTTTTTTTCGCCTGGAAGGGTCGACATCCTCTTGTATGAATAAATGGCACCATTGAAACAGAAACATCACATGAACTCGCTTAATGTCCATTTATATTGTCTTATTTTTTTAGAGATGCGAAAATACATATAAGAAGAAATTCTGAGCTTCCAGGCTCAAAACAATGAGCGGACCGAGCAGCATTTAAAGGCAAACGTGTGGGAGATGTGTCGCTTTTTTGTGGGGAATTTAAGTGTTGTTCCTTCAAGTTCAACTCCAAACAGAATTGTGCATTCTTACCTGTAACAGATGTCGTCCTGAGGCTGCTGCTCCTGCTGCTCTTCACACTCATTCAACACGTTTAAGTTGACTTGATCCATACAACACACTCAAAACAACACACGCACAACCCTAAATGCTTGTTATACCCCCTTTTAAAGAAAAAAAAAACAATTTTAAATGTCCCTGTTTTATCTTTTGAAAAATAGGTGGGCATTATTATTTTCTTCTTCTATTCTCAGCCCAAAGAATCCTTTCAYATCAACATGCATGTGACCTGCAGATGAAAAGTTGGGAGAAAATAAAAAATCTTGATAAGACGGTTTAAAGTTGGAAGTTTTATTTGAACACTTTGAAGTATTCTTGTTTTTCCTTTATACACAATTAGACATACATTTTACCACATAAGGACCCATAAATTCTAATTAGGATCTTCCTTTTAATTTACAATGTGTTTAATTTTGAAATTAGAGCTCGTTTTGTTAGTGGGACAAGTGAGGCTGAAGGTTTGTGCGTCGATAAAAAATACATAAAGAGGAAATTAAGATTAGGTTCAAACAAAGTGTCTGCTTTAGATTGAACCAGTAGATCAGATTATGCTGTTAGACTCTGGCAGTGCGCAGAGTCGGCTAAACAGCACAGGTTGTTGTCTTTTTTTTTTTTTTTTGGCCCCACTCCTCGCGCGGATCCAAACTCCCCTTTAAGGGTGTGGGTCTAGCTGCCCTGAGCCAATGGCGAGGCGAGGCTTTCTGCAGGGGAAGCGGCGGTGCCASGCGAGGCTGCGGGGTCTTTAAAGGGGCTGCTCTGCCCCCTGCTCGCTAGCCCAATCTCGCAGGACTTGTTAGCGTATCACGTGCCAGAGTCTTAATGAAGTGGACACACCAGGGGCCCGGTGTGCGCATGCGCTCGGTGTAAAATGTAGTTGGAAATGAGGTGTCCGTCTTGGAGTAGTCGACTTTTAAAAAGCATCGGCAGCCCGTGATATGACGACTTCGCTGGTTCTGCATCCACGCTGGGCGGACACCTTGATGTACGTTTATGAAAAAAGCCCGAATGAAAGCAGCCAGAATAAAAGCCAAACAATGGAGGGTCTGAGCGGTAATTGCCCTGCGACCCACTGCAGGGACCTGATGTCGCACCCCGCGCTGGGACGGCACTCTGGCACCATAGCGACGCACCAGGGCTCCGTCTACTCGGATATTTCCCCCGCGGACACCGGCCGCCAGTGTCCCGCGCCTCAAACGTCCTCGAGCGCCTCTCTGGGTTACGGMTACCCGTTCGGAAGCCCGTACTACGGCTGCAGGCTGTCCCACTCGCACAACGTGAACTTGCAGCAGAAGCCCTGCTCGTACCACCCCGCGGAGAAATACGCGGAGCCCAGCACGGCGCTGCCCACAGAGGAGCTGTCCTCCAGGGCCAAGGAGTTCGCCTTCTACCCGAGTTTCGCCAGCTCGTATCAGGCGGTTCCCGGATATCTGGACGTGTCGGTGGTGCCCAGCATCAGTGCCCACCCTGAGCCGAGACACGACGCCCTGATCCCCATGGAGGGCTACCAGCACTGGGCACTCTCCAACGGCTGGGATGGGCAGGTGTACTGCTCCAAAGAGCAAACACAGTCCACTCATCTGTGGAAATCTCCTTTCCCAGGTAAGAAAATATTCTAATGTTTTTTTCCCCCCTTGCTTCAAATGCATTTCAAACAAGCACCATAACACGAGCTGTAAAAGCTTTAAACTCATGTCATCACATGAAAATAATAATCAAACAGAATATAGTAATATACAATATTTTATTTTGAAAAAAATAAATTTAATTTTTGCATTATTCAAGAAAATTCTTCCATGTTCGTGTGCGTGTGTGTGTGAGAGAGAGAGGATGTGCGCATGTGTGTGTGTGTGTGTGTGTGTGTGTCACTAGCCTTAAATAAAACTTATAATTAAATAAAACAGCACGTTTATATTTCCAGACCTTTCCCAATAAATACACGCATTATATGGTTTTTACATCAAAAAAGGACAGTTTGCACAAACTTGAAACCCTCTTAAATTTAAAATTACTAATGGAATATTGTCAACGTTTCGTGCTTCACGTGCGTTCAGTGACATCCTGAGTCACAGTCATGTGATGCGGGTAAATAAGTTGCTGTCACGTAGAACAGAAAAGGACCATCCCTGCATACCTTTGCCCCCTTATGTGACAATAAAGTGACTAAAGCTACTGGGTTTGACTTTTGTAGCAATAAATCTCCGTGCCCCCTGCGGAACGTCTTTTGCCAATCTGGATTCGTTTATAACATTTGCATTACACACACACACACACACACACACACACACACACACACACACACACACAC